AAAAATGTGCCATAAAAATACTTGTGCCTCGATAATATTAATGAAAATCTATTAGCAGAAGCAGCGATATTTTTTTTAATATCTGAACCTATTATATATGAAATATCAGCAAATTTTTGGAGGTACTTACAATTAGAATATCTAAATTGAGTGCCAATTTAGTGATAGTCCAGGTGGGAAAGTTAAAATGTTGACATATCTATATTTTTAAGCAGTGTTAATTTTTAATAAAAATATATCGAAGATGAAAATAAACCATGGAAATCATAAAAAGTAAATAAAGTCAGGTTTTTATATCTATTTAAAAATTATAAATATAAAAGTAAGGAGAGCAATTCTGACGATTTGCTTCAATTCAATTTTGAAGATTTTACTGATTTTGTTTGTACTGATTTGTATGTACAACATATGAAACTTGCATTTAATGATCATAAATGTGCAAAAAGTTAATGAAGAAATATAAAAAATACGAATAAAGCACTTATAATATCTTAAATTTCGAAGTCTATTTAAAACAAAGCAATATTTTACAGTAATTTTTTCACGATTTTAGTGATTTTTAAAGTAGCTTCAGTTTGGTTTTCTAAGTAGTGTCTATGTACCGTGCAATTACATTTGAATAACTAATAAATCTAACAACAAGTACAATTTTAAGCATCAAAATCTACCAAATATCAATCTACAAGGAAATGACTTAAATGCTTAATATATACAATAAATCTTCCAACATACCGTCTCAAAAAATTTAGCCCGCGTCATTTTCATGTCTGTAGATCTTTTACGTAAATTTGACGTCATCTTGAGCACAGAATCTTAAAATATACATAAAGTGTCAAATATTCATCACAAAACACATTTCCTGATCACAATGTTTATAGTTCGATCGCCCAATCTATTATCATAATTGTGATGTCACATGTTTCGGTCACTCTATCACGAAGAGAGGCAAATTATTTGTTTAACACTTTTTTATCTGGAATATGAAAATTGACTCTTGTAATGGTAATGGTAATGGTAATACTCCAAATATGGTAATAATAAGATACACTAACAAAGAAATTACACATGCACTTAAATTCCTTTTTGTTAACATTGCACTCGATGTAGATTAAAATGTTACAATAAAAGAATTCAGGTGCATCGTAGAAATTTGGAAATAGTAATAAAGCAATTGTATGAGCTAGATGATTTTAAAAAATCACACTTTGCTTATAGAAATATAAGGAAATAAATTTTTAATAAAATTTATATTTCAATCTCTTTGTAAGAAAATTGTATGTAGGTACTCAATTAATATTAAAACCAAATAATTTGAGAAAGTACTTTAAAAAAATGTTTTTAACTTATTTATTTTTAACTTAATCATTAATTATCATAGCAAATTTATATAAAATTACACATTGTTCATAGATATAGCAAAAATTTAGTATATATTTTAAGATCATTGCATTTGATATTGTTTAAGTTGATTATGATTATAAACCATTTTTAGAATTTTTTGCACGAATCTCAAAGATTTAACAGCAATTTTATTAATATTCGTATTATTTGTTAATTTTATTACGATGTAGTATTTTATCCTTGATTCAATATAATCTAATTAATATAATCTAATATTAACTATAATCTAAATTTATTCATTAAAATCTAATAAATTGTATGTAAGTGCCCAATTAATATTAAATAATTTGAGGAAGTACTTTAAAAAAATGTAACTAACTTAATTATTAATTATCATTTATAACAAATTAATTATAATTATAAACCATTGTTAGGATTTTTTGCATGTATCTCAAACATTTAACAGCAATTTTATTAATATTTGTATTATTTCTTAATTTTATTACAATACAGTTTTTTACCATTGATTCATTTAAGATATGCTGCTTGGAACTTATTCATTAAAATATAATAAATTGTATGTAAGTACCCAATTAATAATAAATTAAATAATTTGAAGAAGTACTTTAAAACAATGTTTTTAATTCAATTATTAATTATCATTTATAACAAATTTTTATAAAATCACATATTGTTGGCTGCTTTGCAAAAATTTAGTATATTTTTTAAGTATGATGCTTTTGATATTGTTTAAATTGATTTTGATTATAAACCATTGTTAGGATTTTCTGCATGTATCTCAAA